CCCCCCCAACCTCCCCAGGGTGCTCTCGGGGGAACAGCACCCACGCGGGGGCTCGGCCGCCACCCATTGCCTCGTGCCGTGCCGTGCCGTGCCGTGCCGTGCCGTGCCGTGCCGTGCCGTGCCGTGCCGTGCCGTGCCGTGCCGTGCCGTGCCGTGCCGTGCCGTGCCGGCGGCAGCACCGAGCAGACACAAACAGCCAGAGGGGGCGGCAAGCAGAGCTGCAGGGCGCGTGGCGGCGCTGGGTGCTGCACCCACAACCACCTCCCCCGCGGGGCCGGAGCCCCCTGTGTCCCTGCCCTCGCTGCCAAAAAGACCCATCGGCGATGGCTGGCAGCCAGGCAGCCACGTGGAATCTCTTCGGCATCACCGCGCACCTCCAGGGCTAATGGCTCCTGCAGCCAGACCTGTTCGAGGACTCATTAAAGATGCTCTTATTTTCCAGGCAGGGACAAGTAATCCCGGGTCTGTGGTCTCCTCCATGGATTTAATTACTGATGTGGGGCTAGTTGGCCGGTTCCCCGGGGAAGCCTGTAATAACGCTGCGGGGGTGGAGGGCGCTGGGAGAGGATGAGCTGGGAGAGGAGCTCCCGGTCCGGCTGCTCGCCGCCGTGTCGAACCGGACATCACCTTGGCCAGGAAGCACAGCCAGATGGGGAGAGCATGGTGCCGGGTCCCAAAGGCTTGAGGGTGGGTGAGCATGAGGGACCCGGCCCCTCCGGCAAAAGGATGGAGGATTTGGGGGATGCGGAGGGAGCGGTGCCCACCACACCGGCGAGGAGCTCACCGCAGCTCTACTCGCCCGGCTGAGCATGATCCAGAAATGCCGGTGCCTCTCCCAGCGCCGAACACGACCCAAGGGGACAGTGGTGACAAACCCCATTTGCAGCCGGACCCGGAGCCAGCCTGTCCAGCTGGCTGTGGCATGGGCGGGAGCCATGGCATGGGGCTGGGGGCCGCCGGGTGCCGGTGGTGAGCAGAAGCAGAAGTGAACCATCAGGCGAAACCCTGCATCCCGCAGCACCGCCTGCCTGCGGGGGACCGCGGCGGGGGGCTCACCCTGCCCCGGCGGCAGCACCCCCCTGCCCACACACCACCCTGCCCGCTGCCACCCCGGCCATCCCTACCTGGGTGAGCCGGCCGGAGCCGGGGCTGCTGCCGCCGCCGAGAGCTGGTCACCGGGGCCAAATGGCTCCTGGGGTGCAAGGCAGAGAAGGCGGCTGCAGCCCACGGCTCCTCCTCCGCTCCTCCTCCTCCTCCTCCTCCTCCTCTCCCGGGGCCCTGCGTGGGCGACCCGGGGCACTCGCTCACTCGCTTGGTGTGGAAGTGAAACACGGTGGCCGCCGGCTCCCCTGGCGCTTCCTCCCACGGGGCGTGGGACTGAGCGTGCCACGACGCCCCACAGCCACCCCCAGCTGCCACCGGCTGGGGGCCATGGTGGCCTCCCGGGACAGAGGAAACGGGTGCATCCCCACCTCTTCCTGGCACAGAAACCGCTGTGCCCGAGCAGCGCCCGCCGGTCCCTTGCTGTCTGCAGGGCAGCCGGTGCCCACGCGCTGCCTGCCGGCTTGCACCCTGCTCCGCAGCCTCGGCACACCACACTCAGCCACCCTGCCAAACCCCACCTTGGTCCCGAGCACCGTCCCCCCATGTCCCCATCACCCTGGCTCACCCCCAAGCACTGTCCCCCCGTGTCCCCATCACCCCAGCTTGGCCCCGAGCACCGTCCCCTCCGCCCCGGCCAGCGCTGCAGGCAGCGGCAGGTTGGCGGGGCAGCCGGGCTGGCTGGGCAGTGCGGCCACTGGCATTGCTGGGGGATGATTCACCCCAGCCCGGAGCAGATGTATGGATGCCTTCACCGGCGTCAGTACTTAGAGCCCGGCGACGGCGGCTCTCATGACACCCCAGCGAGACGGGCAGCGAGCCCCAAGCACCTAAACAGGGAGCACAGGCGGCAGTGACCGTCTCCCCGCCACCCCCGCGCCCCCCAGCCCTTCCC